ACGAATGCGAAAATATTTATTAGTGATGTAGGGTATAGATAAAACTCCACTTACTTATTGTTAAAATCATGTGATGGCTTTGAAAATTTAATAACTGAATTTTATAACAATATACGTATTAGAAACGATGATAATCCTGTTTTGATTGAATCCGATTGGATTTTAACTTTTAAAATAAAAAAAAATTGACAAATATTTTGTCTGGAGTTTACTATCTCACTAGTTGTATGGTACTTGAATATCTTTATATAATTATTAGGGTTTTTCATATATATAAAAATAACCGCAATTTTAGTGCAATTATATATTCCACGGAATTAAAGTTTAGAAAATATTGGAAAGACTTGCCTATGTCATTTTCGTTAGCATGCATTATGAACCATCGATATAATTTATTGGGTACTAAATTTGTAATTGATCAGATTTCAAGAGCTTTAACTTTTAATACACCTATCACTTATAAAAATTTAGGAAAAAAACTTTATGTGAAATGTATGGATTATATGCAGAACGAATATGTACAAATATTAATCGGGTACCCTCTGCACCTACTCCTCCCATTGATATATGAAAAGACGACGCTGAAGTATTAACTTTATTCGAAAGCATTAAGTCATATAGATATGATGCAAATGCATGAGTTTCCTCTAATAGTAGTTTGTCTACCACGTGTAATCAAACATCGGACGCAAGTCCAAATGTATTGTCTGCTAAATTAATTAATTACTTTAATCATAATATGTCTAATAACAAAACAATTAAGAAAAGTTTAGAAAAAAGTAATTAAATTCTGTTAAAGTACGAACGATGATGACTAGTGATTTCTGCGATGGCAAAAGACTTACTAACACCTTCGGTCAGCACTTTAGCTTCGAAGTCTTCTTTTAGTGCATGTAAGAGGGTTCTGTCAGAGGTCAGGAGCTGACTGAAAGAAAATATTTTGAAAGTATTAATGTGCGTGAAGGATGATAAGACCGTCTTTTTCGACTGCAAAACAAATATGCCAAAATTGCACGTGTCAAGTGATATTTAATTTAACCATATTAATCAAATTTTGTTACTTTATAATACATTTTTAATTTTTTTTAAAAATTATACATGTAACAAGTTCGTGTACAATTTTTAAACCCCTACTTTAAATTAAAGTAGTCGGTCTCAAGTTCGAATAAAGGAGAATGGTTTATCTTGTTTTTGAAAGGTTTATCTTTAAAAAAAATGTTTATCTTGAAAAAAAAAAAGATGAGCTCGCTCGGCCCATGAGTAACGAGCCGAGCTTATAAACGAGCCATGAGTTCGACTCGTGACGACTACGAGCCGAGGTCGTGCGTATACATGTTGAGCGGCTCGGCCCGGCCCGGCCCATTGCCACATCTAGTGTTATATAGCATTATTTTTTTATTTGATGGTAACTCAATGTTCCACTTCAAAGATGAGCATTTCGTTTGATGTCTTATTCAGGAAGAAATTAGACATGAATCTCAACTGCAACCGAGAGTTCTACACTTGACAAACTACCATTGACACATCTAGTGTTAGATAGCATTATTCTTTTATTTGAAAGTGAATTAGGACTTCAAATTTTGAATGGTGATTTAAACAAGTACTAAATCGCATTTATCTTGTTTCCTTTTAGTATGTTCAATAGTATGTTTGGACTTTATGGACATTGAGCTAAACATTTTGAAGTGTCCCGACTTTTAAATTTTGATTATTATTTGTGCGTGGCAACTTTGCAATTGCACAGCTGGAAAAATATGTAAAAAAATCCTAAGATCTTATTTTTCATATGGGAGAAATAGGAAGTGATTCATAATTTTCGGGAGCTAAATTCAATATTTCAAAAGTTTAGGGACTTAATTGTACTCTCTTGTAACTTGCATTGAATCGGTTACGAATGATTGAATAATGTTGCAGACCAATTTACAGTTAATTAAAGCTGAACGACCAAGATTCAAAGAAGAAATGATACAAATTGAATATCATACGAGATCAAATTGTAATAGATGAAAAACTAAGCCCTTGTTTGAATTGAATTATCTGAAAAGATATTTTTCTCAAACTCATTTTCAACCAAGTATTCTTCCAATAAAATTATTTTACACGTAAACTCAAAATTTTCCCTACTTTTAATCACATTCTTAAAAAAACACTATTATAAAACTCATTTTCCCAAAAATGGGCTCAAACAAATGTTAAGGGTTGCAAACGCAATTATCATTTTTGCAAAAGCAGCCCCTAAAGTCTTGACGCTGCGCGATCTCACTCCCTATACTATTGTCATCGCACAATTTTGTCCCAAACATTATTTTATTTCCTTTTTTCAATTGAACACTTTATGTAAACCATCTAGGACACGAATTTGACATAAAATTTATCCTATAAATATGGATATTCATCTACGAATAAAGAGGGTGTTTGGTACACCTTAAAATCCAATTAAAATTGAAAATACAGTCGTTATTGGCTCTCATTCGTCTAATAAAAGTCAACAATAACGGCTAATTTTTCAATTTTAATCTAATTTTAATCTCTACCGAACACACACAAAATGGGGAAGCTTGAGAGGAAGCTAGATGCTGAAATACATAAATTCTACACAATTGAGAGAGAGAATTGGGTATAAAATCATTATTTCTTGTAAAGCTTTGAAGAAGCTTTTGTTGCAAGTCACTTTCCTACATATTTGTACAATATTGCTTGGAATTACTGAAGAAGAACAAGACATCAAAGGAAGATTCAAGAAACATTGAAGAAATTCAAAATTCAAGAATCTAACACTTGCGTGATCTAATTGATTTTTTTATTTTTTTTAATGCATTACTTCGCATATGAATTCGGGAAAGAAACGTTATCAGATCACGCTTAGAAATATTTTTGATTGATTGAACGTGATAGGAAAATTGATCTTCATATTATAGAATTATTATGAAATTGTGGAATTAATATTAAGGTGAATGAATATAGAGGGATGGGAAATCCTATTGCTTTATTAACTAATTAAATAATCATAACGTTTTCAACCACTTAAATTATGTTTGTTAGAATAATTATAGATTATGTTGTTAATAATCACAACCACTCCTAATTATTATAGATTAGATTGTTAATAATCATGACCGTTGATAAAAATTTGATCAACAAATTCTACTCATCTAATTATGATTTTCACTTTCTAAATTCACTAGTTTGATGTTCCAATTGGAGCACGAGAGGAAATAGTTATTTGAAATTGAGATATTTGAATTGCATGCGTTTCTCTTCAAATGAAGGGTATATCGAGAGCGACAAACAACGGCTTATGATTGTCTACTTGGTAACTGATTTGGTTAAAAATGTCATGTTTTATAGGCCTCCAATAAGGTTCACAAAGTGTTTTTTGAGTTAAGAAATAGTCCCCGAATTCCGATTTTAATATTCATATTAACTCAAGAATTTTTATTTCTTTTGCTACGCTGCATACCTATGGTTGTTCAAACATATTTTTCTCCGTTAATGATGGATGACGTGGATCATTTTGAGAGGACGTGCTATGATTGTTACAGTTTTTAGTGTACGCTACAAGGCGTCTTTTTATGTTTTACTCACTCGAAATGGATTAGGGAGCCTCCACAATTCATTTCCGTCGTGGTTAAGGCTGATCTCAATAATATTTTATGTCCGACCTCCCCCTCATTAAAAAAAAGTAGATTAGACTATCGAGATCGAACTTATGAGTGATGAGATCAGATCGGATAAGTACCGCCGTAATTTACAGTGTGTGATTTACATTCACTGCCACAATGCCCGCCCTCAAGATCGACCACTCACAGTGCAATGCGACAACCATGACATTATCACCTAACATTTCACAATAAGAAACGAGGATTTTTCCTCTCTACCAGGCTTTCCCTCACAGGCCTTTTACAGGCTATCTTACATGAGGTAGGTCCCGAGGATCCACCTCATTAAAAAAAACCCCCAAAAATGTGAACACACCCACCCACCCCATCTCACATTTCTGTGCCAGGTCTTTTACCGACTTGGCACAGCAGCTCGTCCCAAGCAACGATTACGCAACGTTAGGTCATCTTTATCTACAATTGCTTTGTATTTTCAGCCCCTGTTCGTGAAAAATGAATGTTGAAATAATAAATTTTTAAATAATGTGATTAAAAAGTTTTTAAAAAAATGTTTTCATTTTACGTATAAAATATTTTATTGTAAAAACGTTATAAAAAATGAGTTTGAAAAGTAAAAAACCTTCAAAATAATAATAGACAAACGGGGGCTCAAATCCGTTCCAGCAATACTTTAGAAATAATTTTTTCAAGTTGATCTAATTTTATCACGTGATTTTCAGTCATCGACAATTTAATGCTGGCTGTTTTCACTTACAAAAATTAAAAGTCAACCAACGTTCAGATAGTAGGCTTCAAAAATATTTCTAGATTATTCCAAAAATAGATTCTTCGATTTTTCTAACCTCCTAAAAGGCTATTAACTTTCTTCAAGTGAAGAGTCGAAAAGTAACAGGGCCAAAAAAATAAAAACCCCTCTGATGCATTCTCGTCTTTGATGGTTAGATGAAAATGCACATGGTGAAAAAGACGGTCAAATTCTGATTAATTTCTGGCGATTCGAATTGAAGAAACTTAGGATAGTGTCCGTCCCATGTATTCTCGTCTTTCTTCTGTCTTGTATTTGAGCATTATTTTTATGATGCAAATGATAAAAAAGTTCGTGCAATCATACGCCTTGTAACAAAAACGCAAACAAGAATCCCTGTAGAGAAGATTTGTGCGAGGTGGAAGCCCTTTAATTGAACACAAACATTTCCGGCGAGTGTAAATACAGAAACTGGGAAAATATTGAGAGAACATTTAGCAACAGTCCTCTACAGGGTTACAGGTTCATAATGATCCCACAAGTTTTGGTATTACCTTTAACATTCACAATAATCAGTCAGTTCTCCCATAGCTTGAGACTATATAATTGTCCCACAACAGTTAGGCCCTTAAGATTCAACCAGAATAGGGTAGCCTGCAAGAAAAGAGTTGTCTAAAAACCATATCTAAAGGGTCTCTTCTGGGTGGAGGCAACGCTACATCAAGTAACGCGATGTATTCATGCGGAAGATCCCCGTAAAAAGCAAAGATTTAACTAACATTTCTTCAAGTGAAAAAAATTGGGTGGGAAATTTTTTTTGAAAGCTAATTCTGCATACTTATAGATTAATTCAGCTTAAAAAACCACACGGCTTGGAGGTCTTACGTAGGAAAAATAAAAATCAAACTCACCCCAGCTTAAGAGAAGTATCTGAACTATAATCATCTTGTGGAGAGCCATTCGAGGTACAGTTGTCAGTGACAGACTCCAATGACTGCCCTTCCTCGTAGATTATGTTCTCTAAATCAGTTTCAGCCATGTTTTTGCGCCCATTTGATATCTCCATCACCTTGTAAACAAATATGCAGTGAAATCTTCCATTATACATATATAGATAGACAGAGATTTGTGGCGGTTTTGTTACCTGCTGTCTTAAGCGTTCATTCTCTTCCACGAGTTGCATTCCCTGCACATTCACAAGTTCTCAAGTGCTTGGTAATTTATTCAAAGCGTCTTTCATCGATCTTACAATCTAGTCTTGTGTAATTAGAATGTTGTGCTAACCTTCTCTTGTAGATGATTGATCTCTTTCATAATTTTTTCACCCTGTCAGAAGAACAATATAGCTTGTCAATGAACAAGTCCATAAATGTAAAATATATATCATGGAATCGGCAAAATGTCAAGCAGTCAAGCACAACCTTTTTCTCTATTACACGATTTAATCCGACTTCAAGTGAACTCTCCAGACGCTGCAACTCTTCAATACATAAACCTTGCAGCTCCTCACCTCTCATGCGCCTGTTAATAGTAAATACTCCATGTTGCACAATAGATATTAAAGAGAGATTAATTGAGAAAACTATTTTATTAAACAAATACCTTAGTTGATGGCTTTTCTCAGCAATTTCTTTGCTTAATTTAGAGAGGTTGCTGTCCTCGACCAGCTGCACGACATATCCTTATACTTTCAGTGTTTAGAGGCAAAAACGAGCATCCAAATTATCAACTTGAGTTGCTTGGGCTCAACCATTAATACAATGTTGTAACATATTACAAGAAATGCAAAAGAAGAAAATTACCTGCAACTCAAGATATGGTTGTTCCATCTTTTCAAGGTTCTTTGAATGCAGGTTATGCCTCTCAAGTATTTCCTTCGTACTTCGGAGCGTAGACAAAGGAATAACAAGTTAGGAAATTGGTTAAATGAACATTTAAGAAAAGATTTTTTTTTTCCTCATGCATAACAAAAAATCCCATTAAAGCATTCTCAAAGACTATTCAATTGGTAGCGTCGAGCATCAATAACGACTTCAAGGAGACATCATATTTCACTAATCCTACCATGATATCCCCATTAATGTCTCCAATGTTGATGTTTTGAACTTGTCAAAGAAAGTTAGTTTAGATAAAAAAATATGAGATACTTCCTCCTTAAAGTAGTTAAGAACTCCTTTTGAAGTTCTAGCATTTAGAAATGATGTATGATTTTTTCTTAAATGGTTCAAATAGTTACACCTGACACCATACAATGGCAGTTCCATAATTGGAAAATTACATAGCAGATGAGCCAATAAAAAATCATATCCCTTTCCAAAGACCAAGATGATAGAAAATTAAAATAGCTAGGGTTACATGTTAAATCACTCCATACATGTCTGATAATGAGGATTCAAGGTACTGAACAAATCAAATAGATTAAAATCTCGTCTATTACAATATCGAGCATGCACTCGAATAACTAGCAAACGGTAAACATAAATGTGATTGAGTTCATAACGATTTAACATGTGCAGATTTGTGTTTGTAACAATATAATTAGTATGCATATAACTTGCAAGATTCAACTAATAATATTGGTAATAAAGCCGTGAACTTTCTGGAAGTAAAAACAGCTTCGAGATAGTGGAACTTTGACAAAAAGGGAAAAAAATGCCTGCAAAAACTCTCAATATGAAATGATTGAAGAATAATATCCAGATATTATTTCCATATTCATGAAAGAATAAGCACCAATATTTGTGGTAGATCAGTGATAACTCAACCAGAACAGCATAAGGCACACAGGCAAAGGCATATAGAAGAAGAATTACAGAACAAACCCAGATTGGAACAGACAGGATAAGGATGCCATTGCTCTCTACGCATGCTACCTGACTGCAAAGAACCCCCACCCACCCCCCGAATATTTTCAGAACGATTCATTAAATATAACTATCCTTTTTGAGAATCCCAAAATAATATAAGCTTATCTCTCTCCTAATATGTCTTCATTCTTCCAGCACAAAACTGGCTTCTAGTTAGAGAGAGAGAGAGAGAGAATAGAGAGTAGAAAGTATAGAGAAACCTGGAGCTGGCATACTCGAAGAGCTTGCCAGTGGAGGAGAAGATGATGAGAGCAACATCAGCATCACAAAGAACTGAAAGTTCTTCAGCTTTCTTGAAGAGACCTCTTCTTCTTTTGGAGAAAGTTACTTGCCGGGCCGTGGCGTTGTCGATTTTCTTGATCTGAATCTTCTCCCTCGCCATGTTTAAAAATTTATCAGAATTAATTAATATCAGAACCCTCACTTCCCAAGAACACACGGAATAAACCAGCAAATAAATGACGAACAGAAGAAGGAATGATCGATAATATATGTTGTAGTAATTATGAAAAGAAAGGTTTCTAAAAATAGTGTTTTTGAATATCAAAAGCGAGAGTTTATGAGTGAGACAGATACATTTGGGAGAAAAGGGCAGCGTTTTTCTATATTTAGAGGGGAATAGAAGAACAAACCCTAAAGCAAGAAAAGGAAAAGAAAAAGGATTAAAAGACTAAGATATCTAGAGAGACAAGCTTCATTTGGCCATTCATTTTCTCACTCAATTGATCAGATCCAGAGGATGAGAGAGCAGGGAGAGGGAAAAGGACTTCTCTCTGATATACAAGTCCACCAATTAGCCAGTGGGTAAAAATTAGAGGGAAAGAAAGAAGATTGATTAGTTGAGGGAGAATTATTGCTTTAGCCAGTTTGATACGTTTGTGCTGAGTCTGTGTTGGGTATGGTGCTGCTGGGAATGGCTTTGGATTGGTCTGGTTTTTGGGAACCCAATACTACTGTTGACTGAAAGGCCACCAGCGCAAAGGAGAGAGAAAAAGATCTTTGGCTGGTCCAGACTCCAATCTATACCAACTTTTTTTTAACTCCATTTTTTTCAAAATACATTTCTCTTTTTTTCAACTAGGACTGTAAGCAAAAACCGCCAAACCGAAAAATCGAACCGAAACCGCAATTTCGAAACCGACGATTTGGTGCCAGGTGGACCATTCAACGAAATGGTTTTGAACCGAACCAAACCGGTCAAAAACGGTTTGGTTTAGGTTTGAGAATTTTAATTATGGTTTGAAACCAAACCGAACCGACGAAAAATATATAAAATAAAAAAATAAAAAATTGATTTTTTTTTGAAAATTTATCCAAAATTTCAATTTTGTAAAATTGAATAATTTTGTCATTTTGTAGGTATTTTTGTCAATTTCTAATTTTCTATTAATTATTAAAATTTATGACCCGCTCAAGCCTAATTATATATAAAAAAAGGCCCAAATTTGAAAGAAGTGGCACTAAACAGCTCAACCCAAGTCCATATACTCACAAGTCACAACCCTAATCTTCCAATTTCCATTTCTCTCACTCGCAACTCGCTGGCCGCAGCCTCGCTCCCCGCGGCGCCTCCTAATTTCCCCCAAATCGTCAACGCCCTCAAAATCTCGAACCTCTCAGTCGTCGTAGTGTACGTTTGCCGGTATTATTAGACTATTTTAGGTTCTTGGATATTTATTTGATCGTGAGTAAGGTTTAAAATTGAAATTTTGTCACTTTCTAGTTGAAATTTGTTTACATATTTATTGATCGTGAGTAAGGCTTAAAATTGAAATTCGGGCTATCAGGTGCGCAAAAGACATTTGTTTACATATGAGAGAATATGTATAATTACGTGTTAAATTGCAGAAGATGAAGGTGGGCATATATAGTGGAATGGGGGAGAAAAAATATTTGCAGCTTGTGTTTGGAAGCCATTATTAGATGGATCCGTGTCTTAATTCTTTTTTTTTTTCCAATTTGCTAATTAAAATTTTTTTTGTGTATGAAGAACAAAATTGATCATGAGTTCTGTGGCTTTTTGAGTATGTGAATATTTCTTCATTTTGCTAGTTTTGTGAGAAAATTTGATATTTCTTGAGTTCTGTGACAAAATTAATTCGTTTATTCCTTTTGCTAGTTGAAAATGGACATTATTATGTTTTTTTGGACCTTATATTTATTTTAGTGGACTTGTATTGTATCTTTATCGTAAAGTATCATTCTAAAACGTCAAAATGGCGAATAAAAAACTATACTTTAGTTTTTTGTGATTTTACTTTTATTTTGTTGGTATTTAAATTTATAGTAAATATATTTAGAGTTTGTTTGGGAGGGATTTTTAGGGGAAGAATTGATTTTGAATAGTGATATGATGGGAAATGTGTGGTTGAAAAAGAAGAAAAAATTATTGATGTGATGGAAAATATTATTTTATTGAAGAACGTGTGGTTGAAAATGAGAATTGATTTACTGTAAAAAAATCAAAATCTCTCCCAAACAGGGCCTTAGTTTGTTTTAGATTTATTTCTAGTAAGATATAAATATATATTGAATTAATGGCATAAAAGTAAATACTAGACAGGAAAAAAATATACGTGAAACCGGCGGTTTAAAACCGGACCAAACCGTTAGGTTTAGGTTTGAGTTTTTTTCAAACCAGTCAAAACGGTTTGGTTTAGGTTTGAGCTTTTCTCAAATCGGTAAAAACGGTTTGGTTTGAAAATTTGTCAAAAACCGGACCGCTTACACCCCTATTTTCAACCACAAATTTTTAAGGTTAATTAGCACAAAACATCCCTACCTTTGGGGTGAATTTCGAACAACGTCTCTACCTTTCATTTCTTGGCATTTATGTCCTTATCTTCAACGTTTTGTGCGCTAGACGTCCTTCCGTCCACATTCCGTCTAATTTTCCTTCCATGAACTACAAAAATGATTTTTAATACCAATATACAAGGGTAAAATAGTCATCACCGTTGAAACCCTTCATCTCCTCTCTTCCTGCAAAGTGCGAACGTTTCACAAATATTCAAGAAAATTCCAAACTGCTCTTCCATTTCTTCAACCGTCCCTCCAATCGCCTCTCCCCTCCATTCTCCTCTCATTGTGCTCGCATCTGATTTGCCCGAGCAGTGGCCTAAACAGTTTCAGATTTTTTTAAGCGAGTGAAGGTAAGAAACTCGACGTATTCGGTGTTTTTTAGTTTCCAGTTCGTATTTTGGTGCTTTGCATGGTTGAGAGTCTGCGTTGAGTTTTGATGATGTTTATTGCTGTCTCTCAGATTTTCGAGTAACAATATGTTTCTTCCATTTTTGAGAAACCCCAGCCATGATCGACCAAGTTATGGTATACTGTTCATCCTCTAAATTTGTGTGTGAACTAATCTGATTCCATTGTGCATTTCCCCCAATTTTTCTGTC